CATAGCAAGTGAAAGCTAAGGGAGTTACTGCAAGCATAATGAAAGTGTAGCCCAGAGCAGTTTACTGCATATCTGCCACCAGCTGAGAACATGCCCAAACTCAATTACCATAGCACAGTAAATTGCCAAGCCGCAATAATTCAGTCATAAATCTCCATCCCCAGGTTAATTTGGTGTGACTTTCTCATCTAGACTCCAGCCTTCATATGTACTGCAGGAGCTGGATCCCTGTTGTTCTGGACTTGTAACGCCATTTATAGCAAAACAGTGCATAGAATAAGAGTTGTTCAGGTTGGAAAAGACCTCTAAGATCACCCAGTCCAAACATCCACCAGCCACCAATACGGCCCACTGACCACATCCCTCAGTGCCACATCTCTGTGGTTCTGCACACTTCCAGAGATGATGATTCCAGTATTTCCCTGGGCAGCCTGTGCCAATGGCCACTCTTTTGGAGAAAAAAATTTTCCAGATGTTCAATCTGAGCCTCCCCTGGCACAACTTGAGGCTGCCATCTCTTGTCTGATAAGGGACAAGAGGGAACATGTGCTGTGCTACTGATGAATGAATGCATTTCTCTGTGTCCCTGCCTTCAGCCAGCCAAGTTGTTAGACTTGCATTCTGCAGCCTATGTGCAAATTCACCAGTTCTGTTTCGGTGTCATAACCCATCTTGTTCTTATCACATCCCATGTTTCTCTCTGAAGCCCTGTACATTTTGCAGCTTATGGTTTGACAGAGCTTATGAGATCTGCAGAGATTCTCGGTTGTCAGCTCCTTTGTCACTGTTAGTATTTGCAGACAAGATTAGATTTTTTGCAAACATTAATTTTGTGGTTCCTTGTGGTCTGCAAAACCAGCCTCATGGCTGCATTGCTAAATGAACAGCTAGTAGCAAATACTTGGTGCAGTTAGAAAGCCTGAAGCTATGACCCCATTTTCTCCCAACTGAGGTTTGTTTACTTCTGCTTTTTAACTCTCTTTAAAGTAATTTCTAGGTCTGTTAATTATTCATTATACCTTAATTATATTTAGTCCATCATCACTGCTCTTCCTTTGGTGAATAAAGTTGTTATTTATGAGTCAAAAGCTATTTATGAAACAGACAGTCTGGTATCCTCAGAAAGATGTGAGTTGAGGGACCTGTTTTAATTATTAAAGCCTTGATTACAGAGAATGAGTTAATTTAACAGGTACAACTGGTATTCATTTTTCTGCTGTGTGTATGTCCTGCTGCTTCTTCCTGGAACCTCTTTTACTCCGTCGGGTTAGAATGGGGACATTGTCTGAGTTGAACTTGATAGCTTTGGAAATGCTTTTTACTTCGTAAAACTTCAATTTCAAAAAGAAATTATCTTTTTGCCCTGTTTTGGCTCAAGACTGGGTAGACTGGGGCCTTTGGTTCATGCCGAGGAGCAAAACGCCATCAAGCGGAATTCTATGTTGGTAGCTCTGCCCTGGCAGCAGGAACAGCTGCTGGGTTTTGTGGTTGCTTTGTCATATAATGAAAACTAATTCTGGAGAGAACCCCAGTGGTGTGGCAGCCAAGGCTGAGGCTGAGGTCTTGCTGTTGTGCTGAGCCTGGCTGAGGTTTGTGTGCATCTATTGGATTGATTCCTGCATCAGTGTCTAATATCTCAGCAGCTGGCACGAGGAAACAGTGTGGCATAAGCACAGCAGAAGTGCGAATGTTCCTAAATGAACATCTCTCACACATTCTAGCAGTCTCTAGCATAAGACAAGAGAAAGGCAGGAGGAGAAAAGCTCCCTGTGAGCCCTTCCTTCGTCCTCAGTAGTGCTGCTGGTGGTGGGGATTCTCTCCTCGGGTGGGCTCAGAGCAGTGAAGTCCAGAATTAGGTTTTTTGGGCATATGCATTCCTACATAGCTGTAGTGCTAAAAATATTGTACCTACACAGATTGCCTGCAGTGCCATAGTGCTCTGTGTGTGTTTTCTTCATGAGGAGAGTGAGAATTTGTTCATTCTGCAGGACTGTTTATTGCTGCGCACCAAACTGGTGGCAGGTTGGTGGATGAGTTTGGCTCATTTTGTCTGTTTTCATGACTCTTGCAGGCCAAGCAGATGAATGGTGGCCTGGTGGGAGCAGTGCCTTTCAATCACCGCCTTCAGCCTGTGCTGCTGCGGGCCGGGCAGAGCCAAGAAGTCACTGCAGGCAGCTGCTGTGCCAGCAGTACCAGTGCGACTGTGCCCGGCTGTTTGTCATCCCTCCCTCCCCAGTCTGCCTCTGTCTAGACCAGAAGAGACATGGGGAGATTTAAGAGCCTTTTCTGCCTGGCTCTCTGCACCCTTTCTTTCCCACATCTGAGGCTTTGTCTAGACAAAAGTTGGGATTCCTGGACAAAAACTGAGATAAGGGAGAAAGAAGAAACGCCACTGATCTGCAAAGCAAGTCAGAAAAAATACAAGGTCTCACCTACAGCCCATCCTTTCCTGTTGTGTCTGTATGATGTATGACTGACCCATTACAGCAAAGCAGCTTTGTCACAGCTTCTGGTAAAAGAATGAAACAAGCAGATGACATCAGAGTAGCTTCTGCAAGTCTCTCTTTAATTACAGTGCTGGATGAGGACATTTGTTGCCGTCACATGTACTGATGATGGATAATGTACATTCCTGACTCTCCAGGAGCTGTGTTTTCACTGGAGATGTTCACCACAGAGGTAGTGGCTTTTTGTTTTGTTTTGTTTTTCTGCTCTCCTTTTCCTTTCAGCAAGATTCAACAAGCTGGTCAGGAGGACCAACAGACCCACAGCCGCAGCGGGAGCAAGCAGGGAAGCATCGGTGCAGGCAGGAGGTCCCCCAGCTGCTTTGCTACACCGCAGCATGGGGCCGTGAGCCATGGAGGAAATGCAGGAATGGGAAGACTCCATAAGCTAAACTCAAGCTTCGAACACAAATACTGAATCACAAAATAAGGACTGCAGCAAAGGGTTGTAACAGGTGTTTCTGAGCAGATTTCACCTCGCAGCAGAGAAAGAAACCTTTCTCAAATTGTGTTCAATATTGTGCCCAGGTCTGCGGCAGGAGACCTCATTGCCCTGCGCATTCCAGCTGCCTTATTGCTGTGAGGAGCTGCCCAGCTCAGGGCTGGATGTCACCATGCCAGGTGCTGTGCCACTGCAGGCTGCCCTTGCTCTTGGCAATTGTTCGTTCTGTGTAAAGCCACAGGAGCTCTCATCTTTTCACAGAGCTGTGCAGGCTTGGTTCATAGACGGGAAGTGCTATAGCTTGTTCTCTAAGAGCGGGTGCTTTTGGGAAAGGCAAACCTGCTGCAGAGGAGATGAGCAGACATGGCAATGCTGCCTTCACAAGGACAGCAGAGATACAGATATTCCCATAGAACACCTCTGAGTCCAGAGTGTTAGGAGCAGGTGGCTTAAAGCCTCACTGCAATTAATGGTCATCTCAGAACACTCAGGTTGGAGGGGAGCTCAAAGCCCACCCAGTGCCACCCCCGGCCGTGGGCAGGGCTGCCCCCCACCAGCTCAGGCTGCCCAGGGCCCCATCCCACCTGGCCTGGAGTGCCTGCAGGGATGGGGCACCCACAGCTCTCTGGGCAGCAGTGCCAGCGCCTCACCGCCCTGACCAAAGGATTGCTTCCTAATCCAATCTAAATCTCCCCTCTTTTATAGTCCCATGTCCTGTTGCTATCAGCCCATGTAAAAAGACCTTCTCTCCTGCTTGTAAACTCCCTTCGAGTACTGGAAGACCGCAATGAGGTCTCCCCATGATGATGGGTTGTGGGTAATTCTTTTCAAAAGATATGTAATCTCTATGAAAATATACCCATCCTTCTTTACCCTAACTAGCAAATTCATGAAGAACACAGACTCCTTCTGAGAGCTTCTTTCTCCCCATGGTGTTTTGGAAGAGCTGTTCATCACCAGATGAACGCAAAATTGGATGTGTTGAGCTGGATTCAGAAAGCAAGTACAGATGGTGGTTTTGTCCCATCCTGAGTTAAGACTGAGCAGAAGGTAAAGTTATGGCACAAGGTTGACATTTTATCCACATCTGGGTAATTTTCAGGGCCCACACCAGGCGTTAGTAAAGAGCAAATATCACCTATGGCAACTTCCAAATGCTTTAATTGTTTTGGGTTGGTTTTTTTTTTGTGTACATGCATATTATTTTACGTTTTGATTCAGCTCCTCACCTGGGAATTCACAGAGCCAAATGGCACATTTCTGCTTTTGTAAATGTGATAGAAAAATAAGCATTGGGTTATCAGTGTTTTTTTCCTCATCCAGTGATTCTTTGAATCTTTTAATTAAGACCAGTCTGAATTGACTCCCATCAATGCGTGCACATACCTGGTGGAAACTTCTCTGGCTTCTTGCCTGAGACCTCTTGAGTTACACATTCAGGCATCTGTAATTTAAATTTATAGCTGTGACCAGACCTCGAAGAGCCATGTTCAAATGTTATAAAAGCCCATGGGCAAAATACTAATAACACTGGTTATCAGCTTCTTCCAGGAACAGAGGATTAGATGGGAAAGCTTCAGATCAAGGTGGGACTCCTGCCTTGGTTTCAGAAGACGACTGAGAGCAAGTGTTACAGCCACCTGACACAGTTTCTCCTTGATGTACAGCTGGACCACATACAGCCCGTGCAGCCCATCCCATGGGAAAACACTTTGTTAACTATATAGGAAAAACAGATAATGAAAAAAGTGCTGCTTGGCAGTGGTCTTTGTCTGATCTAAAGCAGAAAATGAGTGGATAGTCCACAAACTGCATAGAGAAAAAGGGGATTATATTGCTCTCTGGATTGCTTTAACATCTTCAGGAAAGAGCGGGTGATTGGAACGAGGGAGCCTGCCTCTGCATATGGCTGTTGTCATCATGAAGCTCTCCAGAGCCTACATCAGTTTCTAGCCAGACCTATTTCCATGTCATTTTATTCATCTTACTGTACTTTATTTACAGAGATATTACAAAATATATTGTGAACTATGTACGATAAGCACAGAGTGGATTTGGCAATGCCAGAGTCATCGTGGTGACATTACGCTGTTATGGATTTCCATTTGTTTTAAACTATGAAACATAGCAGAGGGTAAGGGATGCTGGAAACATCCGGACCCATCCAGAGTCCCACCTGGACACAGAGCAGGTTTAGCTAGGGACATTCTTGGGCTTTTATTCTGGCTTTTTTTCCAAAATCACAGTCTCGATCTCATTTGCTATTAATTTGAAGTAGGCACGGCGTTACACACTCCCTGTTGAGAAACATAGGTAAACCATATCTGAGGTGATCCTTGGCTTTATGGTGCCTTAAAGTTAGGTGGGAAGGACTGGACCTAACTTGTCCTGTCCAAGTTCACATCTGAAACAGATGTGGCCCCAGATGCACAGCCTCTCCTGGCACAGTCATCATGTCTCTACATTCATCATGCTATCGCTCCTCACCTGGCTTTTACTTCTTGAGAAAGTCTGGAGATGAAATGCTGGTGGGTAGAAATTGCTGCTGGGCTGGCTGACAATCAGTGATGGTTGGTGTCTTGTTTGACGCGAGTGCATACTGTGCAGTACAAAGTGTCACTTCTTTAACTTCTCTCTCCTTTTATTTTTTGGCTTGGGCTTCTGTTCAGTTCATCCTATTTATTCTTATTTACATTGATGTAGCGGTCCTGCATGAGACTTATGCTCCCCCTTCTCCTTCTGCCCATTGCTTGTTGCAGGGGTTGGATCTGTAGGTGGCAGAGCCTTCTTAACCCACCTGGGGACCTCTTAAATTTGTGTGTGTGTTTTCCCTCAGGGCTGCAGCAGTTTGATGCTGGGTAAGTCAGCTGGAGGTGAAGGCAAAGATATTGTACGGAGTTTCTGCAAGCTCTGTTGGCTCCTATTGCAAAGCGGTAAAGATGCTCTTGTCTTTGGTGAGAATCGTATCGGTGACTCCATGCACGAGCCAGCAGCAGTGACTCATCACTGCCTGCACGCGGCTCTGCGAGTGTCTGTGTTTAATGCACTCAAGGTTAGATGGCCACAGGCAAGAATCAAGCGAGTGTGTCTCGATTTTTGCTTCCACTTCAAACACAGTGTGAGGGTAACTCTTAGACGTGCCTCTGCGATGGATGTCCCGGAGCCCAAAGGTCGCCCCGAGGAGTGGGAGAGCCTCAGCATGAAGGTCCCCATGATGTCCCTGCCAAGAGGCGTGTGGGCACGGCGCTCCACGGCACTGCGCTCCTCATGCCCAGCGCAGGAGCTCGAGACCTCTCCATGGCTGCCTGTTTGTGCGCGTGAATGGCATTGGTTTCTTTTTCTCATTCTTAAAATTGTGGTTAATGTTTTTACTTTTAACAGTGGAGGATCTTCATGAAAGCCTTGCGAAATTCAATATTGAAGGTGGTGTAAATAATTGGATTGACAGCACTGTTGACATATCCAAGCCACGTAAAGGCGCTGTACATTGCTGGGGGGATGTTGCAATCGCAGTGCATGTTCAAGATGTGAGTGATGAAGAATGGGAGCCAGCAGATGATGAAAACACCTGGGGGGAAAGGAAAGAGACAGATCTTGATTGCTGAAAACTGGAAAATTTCTGAGAAGGAGAACAGTAAACCTTCTGTTTGTTGCTATGTCTCTGACTATATCCTGAGTAACCAAGTGGTAAAGAAATTCTTTGCTGCTGTAAATAGGCTGCATCAAAATCTCTGGCCTTCAGAGGCACCGGTTTCTTACTGAACTATGCTGTCTCTTGTGCTATAAGCTGTATTAGAAAGCACATGATCTTTCTTGCCCCTGTCTTTTGGCACTGCAAACACTGAACAGCTGGACAGCTTCCTGAGCCTTCTGTACAGTCTCGTGCCACATTCCTGGCTGGAGGGATGCAGCCTTCCTACTTGAAGCCTCCTGCCTGTTTACACAAACACATTTCTGATGTACTGAGTGGAACTGTTCCTTTAGGGACCTGGGAAAACAGTCTGTGTCGAGCACTCAGACTGGGTGCCTTAACCCTGACTAGCTGTTGCCTGTCTTGAGGAACACGGGGTGAAGCCAATGTGCGCTCTCACCAAGTACAATGGCTAGCATCTGGGTGGCTTTCTTCTCCTTCTGCTGCGAGAGTTTCCTCCTGTTCATAGCCTTGAGAAGAGTGCTCCTCGTCTTGCCATTAGGCATGGACTGGATCTCAAAGACCTTGGCTGTGTGTAGATTTTCTTTGGCATGTCCGTTCTTCTCTACTTTCCCAGGGCTGTCCAAGGTGCACCGGCTTGAGGCGATGGGCACAACCAGCTGGTGGTTGCTTGGCGCTGCTGGCTTGGCAATGGTTCTCTCAGGGGGACTGGTACTGGACACCATCTCCATTTCCATCTCTATGTGACTTTCCGCCTCCTGGATGAGAAGCAAATGCCCACACCATAAGGCAGGTAAATATACAGGGAGGAGCAATGAATGTTTCTTACAGAGTGAAGCTGGATGACGCTGAAGAACAATCAACACCTCTTCTCCCTCCCTGCTTTTTGGGAGAGCCTTGGAGAAAGGTCTAAAAGTTGTTTACATGTGAGAATACATTTGAGTTTGACAGAACTGCAGGAAATGACTCTTGCTCCTTCATTGCACAAGGAGGTTAAGAGATGGGAGAGACACTGTCTCCCCTCCCCATATATTTGATTTCAGTTTTAACGGTGTAAATAAAAACAAAATCTACAAGAAAACCCAACACAGCCAAGGCAGTCCAAGACTTAAAGTAAATAATAGAGAGGAGAAGAAAATCAAAGAGACAAAAATTGTTAAAATGTCATGGCTTTTATAGCTGATCTTTAGGTGAGCTTAGTCTGGCTTTTTGAGCTCTGTGGTGTTAAACCCCCTGCTTCACTCTAAGGAACAGGAAGAATATTTAAATTTTGAGATTGAATGGTAACCTTTGTTCTTAGCTTATTTTTCTCCCACACTGCATAAATTCATTTTGAGCCCTGAGAAGGGAGAAAAGGGGAAAGCTGAACGCTCTGAAAAACTACCACTTCTCTTTAACACTCACCACTTTGCGCTTATTAACTTGGAAACTCCCATTGGACTTCACAATAACTGTGCAGAGCTTCACGTCTTCTGGATGAGTGCATTTGTCCTAAGGGGCAAGCACCGGCTCATAGGTTACACAAGCAGATAGTAATTAGGAAGGGTTGCTGGTGGGGGAGGCACGTGGAAACACAAGCACAGGGCATGAAGCAGATATTAATCAATGTGACTAGAGTGCTAGATGGAGACTACTCTGGAGAGGCAGCAATGGAGCCAAGAGTCCCTCATGGTTTTAGTGAAGGAAGGAAGCCACAGAGTTTACCTTCAGCGGCGCATGCGTGTCCGAGTCCAGGCCGTGGCTGCTGCGCTTGGTGGTGACGCGCTTCCTGCGCCTGCGGAGCACCATGTAGATCTGCACGTACACCAGCAGGGTGACGATGAAGGGGACGTAGAAGGAGACAACGGAGGAATACACGACGAAGGCAGGATTGGCAATGATGCACTCCTTCTCATCTGGAAGACAGAAGGTTTCGGGCTCGCTGTCTCTGCTGTCGGACCTGCACCAACATCCCCCTCCTCTATCTGAAAGCATCCAGAGTGGAAGGAGCACTCTACCCCGCAGAGCCAGGTAGATGCCAAAAGCCAGCTGCAGGTGGCACAACTCACCTGCCTTGTTGAGGCCAAACAGGATTGGGCTGGAGATGGCAAATGAGAGCACCCAGACCACGGCGATCATGACGGTGACCCGGCGCTTGGAGCTGTAGCGGGTGTTGTACAGCATTGGCATCGCTACGGCCGTGTACCTGCAGCGGGAGGCACAGACCTGCATTACCCTGCAAGAGCTGCCCTGGGTTTGTCGCCGCAGAGCCCTCACCTGTCAATGCTGATGGCACAGAGGTTGAGGATGCTGGCGGTGCACATCATGACATCGAGGGTGACAAAGATATCACAGTGGATCCGACTGAACCTCCATTCCCCAACCACCTGCAGAGAGAACGCAGTCAGTGCAGGAGATCCCCTGCTAGGAGTGCTATGGAGGGGTCTGACAGGACAGGCAGAGACTGCATATCCCAAGCAACACTAGTTGTACTCACAGCTCTTCCTTAATGCTCTTATGCTTTAAATTTAATTACACCTGGCAAAGATCAGTAACAGGGAAGAAGGATCCTTCCTTTTGTGTCTTTGTTTATCAAGCCGGGGAAGAAATTTAATGTGCATTAATTTTTGTGAACAAAATGAATTTAATTCAGAGTGAAAATCCTTTGACACGTTACTTGTTGTGATAAAGACAAAGACTGAGAGATAATGCTTCTAGCTACCAGTAGATGTTTTCTCCTGTATTATGCTGTTGAAACTGAACTTTGAAAATTAAGTTTAACAGCAATTATTAGGACTGCTGTATTTGGCATGTGATAGAAAATGTATATTTCCCTCTAATAAAAATAGAGTCCTACTGCATTTGAAAATAGAATGAATAAGATAACTATTCTTCAGTTATTTCTGCTCTGATATACATAACCATAGGGAGCATGAAAAAGAAAGAAAGAATGACTGCATTGAAGCTTGAGTGACAGATGAATACTCAGTGATTAAAAAATCTCTTAAGAGACAAAGTCACATCAGTAACTTCGACTAGAGTTTGCCCGAAGGCAAAGGTTCCCAGCCAGATATAAGGCTTTGCAAAGTCACGTTCCTGAACCCATGGGTTTGAGTGTATGGAAAACGCTGCTATCCCCATGGCTGGCACAAAGAGAGCCAGAGTTCCTCGCAGCACGAGTGCTGTTGTCAGACAGAAATACAATAGATGAGTGTAACTCATCCCAGAGGCATTAGCTACAGTCACATCCAGCCTGTGGTCATGTTAATATGCTTCAGCACACGCACAATGCTTTACATTTTTAAAGTGCCACACAAACAATAATTAACTGGAGTGATAATTAGTATTGTGGCTTCTCGACAGCCCGTGTCACATCAGCAGATTTGTTTTGCTTTGCATTAATACTTAACGAGCTGATTGATTATGGCTTCTTCCACTGCTTGCCTCTGTTTTATCATTTGCTCTCCTAATGAAATGCCTGAAAATGAATTGCAAATTCAGTGTAGTTCCAGTCTTATGCTTTCTCTGTCGGTCGCCAGCATCCCAGCTCTTGGCTGCTTGAGGAATGCAGCCATCCCAGCCAAGGACAGGGGGAAGCTTCTCTTTTCCACTCTTTTCTCCGGAGATGCTTTTCATTCTTTTGTGCTGTTTACTGTTGCAATAGTCCTGTGCTGCTGGGTAAATGGTATTTTGGGAGTATTTGGCTCTCTTAAAACAATGTGCCACTCAAGTATGGCTCTGTGCTGCAGAAGCATAGAGCTCTTTTGTACCAAAGCGACATGCTAACGGCAGTAATGTGACAAGTAGCTCACTTGTGAGTCTGCTTCTCTTATATATTGTGACATAAAAGCTCTGGATTTACAACCTACTTCTACAACTGCTTGCTCTTCTTACTACTCTAGTCCTTCAGGAATAGGTTTCTGATTACTGCTCGGTGCAGTTTTAGTGTGACACCCATGATGGTGTTTTGGGCTCATTCTTGTGCTTGGGAACAGTTTGTTGGTGCAGTCCTGAAAACAAACTTGAAATCTTTCATTCTTGATCCCTGGATCAATAGGCCAGATTTTCAAAGCAGTTGGGTGGTAATTCAGCCTTCTGAACAGTAGCGTATTTTCAAGTAAACCTGTCATGTGCTATCATGTCTGTCTATTGAATAACTCAACTATTAGGAAATTTAAAACATAGAATCATAGAATTATTAAGGTTGGAAAAGACCTCTAGTATCATCTGGTCCAACCTGCCACCAATACTGCCCACTGACCATGTCCCTCCGTAGTACATCTACCCTTTCCTCAAACACTTCCAGTGATGGTGACTCCACCATTTCCCTGGGCAGCCTGCTCCAATGTCTGACCACTCTTTCTGAGAAGAAATTCTCCCTCATAACACTTCTGGGGAAGTTCAGGAGGTCTGGAAATAGCTGATGTCCAACCTGCCAAACCTTTTCCCTTGGTACTCCTATACCAGAACCGTTCAGTGCTGAGAGGCAAAGCTGGGCCACCTACCTCCAGATAGACCACCCAGGGCATGACCAGAGTGGCCACCAGGAGATCCGCCACCGCCAGGCTGACGATCAGGTAATTGGTGGTGGTCTGCAGGGCTTTCTCCCTGGACACAGCCATGCAGACCAGCACGTTGCCAAACACAATGACGAAGATGAGGAGGGTGAGCAGCACGGCATAGTAGTTATACTGAGGCTTCTGGTCTGCGCTGGACTCGTTGAGCGGCTTGCTCCAATTCCTGTCCCCGGTGTTGTACCAGGAGAGGTTTAGGGGATCCATGAAGGTGAACTTGCCAGGTCCCAGCTCCACCCTGCACAGAGAAGGTGTTGGAAAAACAGTCAAATGTTGTCGTGTAAAATAGAACCAAAATGACCATGCGGACGCGGCCTTGCTTCTGAATTCGCATGTGCAGATAGCTGCTGAATGGGAGTGCTATGGACATGCAGAGCACAGCTTGAGCTGAAGGTCAGGTACCTGGGCAGGGATTTGGGAAGTTCATTTCCATTTTGGGTTAATTCCCCCAGATTTCTGCAGTCTGGGCTATCAGTTGCAGTTATTACATAAAGGGGACATGTCAGAGGTTGCGGTCAAAAAGTTTAAAAGCAGCTGAAGTTTTTGGCTGCTTGTTTGGGATTTCAGGTTTGAAACAGACCTTGTTTCACTTCTCAGCACTTCCTGAGATCACCCATTTCATATTTGCCAAGCTTCACCTCCATAAAAACCACTGTGATTTGAAAATCCGGCCATGTTCTCAACAGACCCTAAAAAAGGCCATTTAATTTTCTCACTAAAAGACAAAGCAAATCAGATTTATAAAACCACGTAAGTGATCAAAATAGCAAAACATTTGCAAATATCAAATTCACTTGGGAACAATAGTTTCTTTATGTTTCACTGAGCTTTTGTGCGCTTTTTTCATTCAGAGAACAATTTGTATAATAAACCCTGGAAATTTGTTGCATATGGGTCCTTAATGGCTGATAATTCAAAAAGTGTCTGTCTGACAGTGCTATCAGCAGCACTTGATAGCTCTACAAATGTCTTCTTAAAAACTGTCAAAGTGTCAGAAATTAATTAAATGTTAGCTTATGTGACTCAGAGTGAAGGGGGAAAAATCAATGCTAAATGCAGCGACAATTTCTTCTTTTCTCCTGTTGCCCTTTGATAATGCAAAGCTATCTTCTGAAGGCAGAAACATGCATATAATGCAGGATGGGGAAAAAAAAATAAAGCAGGAACATAGAAAAGTATCTGGAAAGTATAAAAGGAGTTGAATGATTTGGTACGTGCAGCTCCTTGGCTGTTCCAGCTCCCGAGCTCTGACTGCGGTTCATTTCCAACTCGATAGCTGCACAAAATAACAAAGCCATGGCTCAGATTCATTCCAGGATCAAGAAAAAGAATGGGCATGAAAGGGTGTTTGGTCACCAGGAGGTTTGGTAAAGGCTGGGCTCTGGTTTGGGAAACAGAACAGCTCGAGGTCAGCCCAGTTCCCTTCTCCCACTGCCCTTCCCACACCCGATCATGTTCCTGTCTGAGAGGCACAGCGATGTCCCACGTTAGAGCTGCAGTGCTGTTGTGTTCAGCACATCTTGCACAGCTGTTTCCAAGAGCATTTTGTGCAAGGCACAGTCACATCGTATTGATGAACACCAAGGTTATTTTCCAGAGCAGAGTAATAAGCTGACCTTGTGCTTCTTGTAACTCAGTGTAATGGCTTTGGTCTGTTACAGCTTTTATTCTGGTGGAAAAAAGGGGGAAAGCATAAAACTGGCTTTTGTTTGCAAACCCAACTGCACCGCCATCCTTCTCCTGTATTTTCATTTTAGGAGAAAGTCAGGAAGGTCCGGTGTTAGTTCACAAGCAGGAAGGGAGGATCAGTGTCTATGACCACCTGGGAAATGCCTCTTGGTGCTGCCCAGAACAGGACGGTGCTTCATGGCCCTTCACTGCCGATGGTTTCTCAGCAGAGGACAGAGCAACACTCTGAAAACCGCCCTGAAAGGAGGGGTCCTCAGTGCTTTTATCCAAATAGCTGCATTGGTGGAGGCTGGGGGATGGGATCATAAATGTAAGGGAGAGGGAGGACTGGCACCTGCAGCCTTGTGGGAATGGGGTCGGAGCTCCACACACCGCTGCCAGCGCAGCGCAGAATCAGGGCTGCTCATGCAGGGCCGTAGGACGCAGGTGTGGGCAGAGCCCTGAAACAGAACAAATTCCATCCTGAATTAACTGCAGCAAAGCCACCTTAATTCCAGCTGGGAGCCCACACGGATTGTTAGCGTGCCTCAGCTAATCCAGCTGCGGATTTACTGAGCGGTCAAGGGCAGGATGCAGCAGCAAGGTCACAGCCCTGTGCCCGATGCCAGCCCTGGTTCCTCCCCACACTTTGCAGCTCCAATCCGGCCCGAGGCTGCGTGGGAAAGGTGTTCAGAGACAGATTTGCTCCAAAGGCATTTCTATTTCCCAGAAATCAATGTCTAAGTGATGTTTGTACACTACAGTGCCTTCCTGAATATTGTCATTTTCTTCAGAAGATGTGGAATCGATGGGCCACAGGAAAGCTGTCAAACTGACAGCCTCTGTCCTGCAGATGTCTCCTGATGCTGTTTTCTGGGCTCCACCGAGAATGCATTGCAGGCACCGCAATTAAGGTTGATGGTGTTGTGCTGGAGGAGGGAGGTGGAGGAAGAGGAGGAGGAGGTGCTTTGTTTCCCTGTCCAGGAGCTCTGTGTGAGGGGAAGCAGCTCCTGGAGCAATTGTGTTGTTCCTTGCATATTAGCCCTGAGCTGCTGTGTGTGGTGAATTGCTGGCCCAGAGAGTGAGGAGCAGCAGGCAGGGAACAGGGATCTGCAGGGCATGGCGTCCACAGGCACTGAGGAGGAAGCAAGGTCAGGAATTAGGAAAACATTGTGAATTTGGACCTGGCTGAGAACCATAGAACCTGCTGCTGCTGCTCATGCTGATGAAAAATCCCTTGAATTACTCATCTTAGAATTACTGAGTTGGAAAAGATCTGTAAGATCACCCAGTCCAACCATCCACCTACCACCAATGTTGCCCACTGACCGTGTCCCTCAGTGCCATGTCTCCACGGTTCTTAAACACCTGCAGGGATGGTGACTCCACCACCTCCCTGGGCAGCTGTGCCACTGCCTGACCACATTTGTGGAGACGAAATTTTTCCTAATATCCAATCTGAGTCTCCCCTGGTACAATTTGAGGCCATTCCCTCTCATTCTATTGCGATTCCCTGGAAGCAGAGGCCAACTCCTAACTCACCACAGCCCCCAGTCACGGAGCTGCAGAGAGCAGTGAGGTTTCCCCTGAGCTCCTCTTCTCCACACTGAACAATCCCAGCTCCCTCAGCCACTCCCCATCGCACCCCATTGTGCTCCAGACTCCTCAGCATCTTTGTTGCCCTTCTCTGGATATCCTCTCATTGCTTTTCTTAGTGGTTCTCTCTCTCCAGCAATAAGATTATGCAGGCAACAGGTTTAGCTACTTGTGCACCTCCAGATGTAGAGATGAGAGATAAAGATTTGGGTTTTTGGAACTGAATTTTAACTTCAACACTGCACAACCTTCATGTCTATCCGATGTAACAGTTCTCCCCATCAACTCCTTGTAAAAGTCTGAGGAAAAGCTTCCTCCACGCTCTTTCTCTAGGGGAACCCTTTACAGTGGGGGTTTTTAGGGGTGTTCAAGTACTGTATTATTCAAAACATGACATTTTCTATGCACAGTGTTTTGCTTCTCAGCACCACTCAGAGCTCTGCACTACCCCATGTCTGAGCCACTGACCCAACAGCAGCTCAGGGAGAAGAATCACAGCAGCCCCAGCTCCTCTCCCTCAGTGATGAGGAACCCCCAGCACTATTCCCACCCCAGTCAGGTTTCCAAGCTCACAGCATTGGTTCCAGCCAACCCAGCATCCCTTGGAGCTGCCAGTCCTGCTCAGAGGAGGCTTAGCAGGTGCCCAGCAGGAAAGACAGGAGGGCTCTTTACGCTGTAGATCAGAGGTTTTCCTTCCAAATGGTAGGATGTATAAAAAGCTTCCTCCAGCAATAATCTTCTTCTAGAAACCATCCTCATTGCCTTTACCAATGTAACGAAAAGAGTGCTCTGGCTCTTGCCTGGCAGACTGCTGGTGCAGAGCCATTGGTTCCTATCACTCCTGGAGAAGACGTGGGTACAGGGCAGGCTGTACCATGTTCAGCATTTGGCAGATTAAGAATTTTGCAAGCTGGAGCTGCTCCAGACACAGCCCACTTGAGCAGTGCTCAGCCTGGTGGAAAGGATGGGCAGATAAGGACTGTTTTTCACATTATTTTTGTGTGCGCTCTCAGTCTTGGACTCCCAGCCAGAACATGGAATCGTAGAATGGTTTGAGTGGAAGGGAGCTGAAGGCCGCCTGGTGCCGCTCCCTGCAGCGCACAGGGACACCCACAGCTCAGCAGTGCTCACAGCCCCGTCCAGCCTGACCTTGGCTGTCTGCAGGGACGGGGCACCACCGCCTCTCTGGGCAACCTGTGCCAGCGCCTCACCGCCCTCACTGCCAAACCTTCTTCCTCAGCTCCACCTCAATCTCCCCTCTTGTGGTCTGAAGCCATCTCCCCTTCTCCTACCACACAGACCCCACTGAAGTGTCTGTCCCTTTCTTTCTTATTTTCAGTGTTTAAGGATGAAGAATTTCTTTCTTAAAATCAACAACCCTTCTGTTGGGCACACATTAAAGCCAATTGTGGAAATAACCATGTTTTGCACTCCAGGTTCTAGTGTAATCTGTAATGGCCATGGTGAATGCTGCATTGGTAGGGTGAGCATCATATGTGACTTCATTCCTGTGTTCTCACATGACGATGGCTGCTGTCAGAGGCAGGTCTTCTGACTAGAAAAACATTCTTTCTAATTAACTATTGCATTGCAGTAGACCTAACATCCTGTTTTGTACAAAAGACCATTTTCCCTAATTCGTTAATATGTAAACTAATGCTAGATCTCTCTGAGTAGAGCCTCTGACTAATCTAATAGCTCCCCAGCCTTATGATGCTGCTAATCCATCTTTCAGATTTTGTTCTGCATGTAAGATCATCCACCAATGTCTGCAAATATCCTTTTAATCACTGGTAGAGCTAATTGTATTATTTCTCAGGAAATGAAGAAGTTGAATCCCTTCCCTCCTATCCCCAGCAGTTATCTACAGAAGTGGTTGAAATTTGAGCAAAATATTTATACAGGCTGCCCAGAGAGCTGTGGGTGCCCCATCCCTGCAGGCACTCCAGGCCAGGTGGGAT